TGGGCCGAGCGTGGCTGGCAGCTCCCTGGCCAGGGATTAACAGGCCCTGAGTCGCTTCCTTGGTCACGTGCCAGACCCGCTGGCTGGGCCGGTTCCATTGCCCGCCAGGCTTTGCCCCTGGTGTGTGTCTAGCAAACCGGCCTCGAACGCCGACCGGGGCTGGAGAAGGGCCTTGTGGGGGTGTCCCGGGGGAGGGGCACGTCCCGGGTTGCTTGTGCGGGAGAAACGGGCCCTGGGCTGTATGGAGCGAGAAGGGCAGAGTCCTAGCACTGCTCGTAGCAAGCCGGCGGCCCGGGAGCAGCAGTGGCTTGAGTCTTTGGAGCAGGAGGCTCGGGCTGCACACCTGCAGGGTAGCTGCTGATCCAACTCATGCCCGCAGCGGGGGGGTGTCCTGCCCGCTGCTGCCCCTGATCCGCCTCCATGGCCTGGATCCTAAAGCGGCCCCGCAAGCTGGAGTCACTGTGTCCACAGGCACATAAGGCCCAGGGTCATCTAAGCTGACCTGCCAGACCTAGACACCCCCCAGCTATAAGCTAGGTTTTTAAGCCAGGAGGCAGAAATGAAGCTGGCCCGGCAGCCGGCAGAGCAGCGATGGAAAGGGAACTGCGCCGGTCGGTGTCTGAGGTCATCTCGCCTGGGTGATGGCCAGGGGCTAGAGTGAGCGCACCCGCCTGCCCGGGCATCTGTATCCTTGTGCTCACCTCTGTGGCCCAGCTGTTCCTCCTGGAGAGTCTCTAGGCTTCTAACCTCCATAAACAGCTTTCTCTCCCTCTCCTGTTCCTTGGCTGACCCTGGCAAGTTCCCTTAGCCAATGAGCTGAAGCAGAAAACGGGCCGGAAAGTCCCCGGCGAATTGAAGGGGAGATAAGCAGAGCTGACCCCAACCACCCGCCTGGGCCGCAAACCCAGCTGGATTAAGGGTTCCGCTCCCTCCAGGCGAGAAGGGCAAACGCCCGGCCCTTTGCAAAGCTGCCGTGTGCCGCGCTCGCCTGCTCGCTCTGTGTCACTGAGAAGGTCTCCTTGTTTTCTCCTGCAGTGCGGAGGAGATCCGCGGGTTCTTTCAAAGGAACAACGTCACGTACCTGGCGCTGATCTTCGAGACGAGCGACTCCTTTGTGGGCAGAGAGGTGGGCGTCAACCTTTGGTGTGGTGATTTGCAGTGCGGTAGCCCCGGGCGGGGTGGGCCTGTCACCAGGCCTCAGTGGGTCACCGCTGAGGATGCCAGAGGCAGGACAAACAGCTGAGTAATGGGGCAGACTCACCCGTAAACTGGTGGCTATTCTCCCATAAGGTCCACGAAATCCGTAACCAAAGTACCCTTCTGTCTCACCACATGGGCTAACGAGACATCAGAAATGCAGTCTGCTTGCGTATCCCAGCCCTTGTATCTCCACCCAGACACCATGCTGAATGATGAGTGGTTGTTTAAAACAAGCTTCATCCACCAATGGGTTCTTCTGATCCCAAAGAACCAGCCTCGTACCCCGGTCAATACATAGCTCAGATCTTACTCAATAACGACGCGGGAGACAGGCCTTTAGTAGCTAATGTTCAACGGTGTGTTTATAGGAGAAAAGATAGAGGTGAGAGTTAAAATGGTCAAAGGAATCAAATACACCGGTTGCAAAGCTCTTGGATCAGGTTAGTAGGAGGGGTGGAATAAACTGTTGGCTTGTGTCTCTGGTGGCATCCAAAAGATTGGAAGACCTCCAGCCTCTTGGTGGGACAGCTCCTGTTCGTATAAGTCCATAGCCCAGGAGGCAGGGCAGGAAAGAGGCTTCCCGGGTTATTTATACTTTCTCTCGTGTGGAGGAAAACTTTTAGTTTATGGGAAAAGTCTGGGCACAAGCTGGAGTCTGGGGTTCCAGGAGCAAGTCACAAGTTCCTCGCAGGCCTCAATGAGTCAGAGCAACTTCAGTTCTGGCTGAGGTGGCTTCAGGAAGGCTGGTGGTGCGAGAATCAGCTTTTGTGTGCGAGTTGTGGCCTCTAACGGGCCATCATCCGTGTCAATGGGCCGTTCGCAATGTGTAGGCCAGACTGGATGTAAACGACCCAGGAGGAAGCACGTTTGAATGACAGGCGCCTAGTCCATACACGTAACTTCGCATCACTTCCTTTGCAAAAATGCTACATGCATACCGGCAGGCTAAGTCGATTCGGCAACCCATAGCGTTTCCATTGACACCTTACAGGGCATGCTTGTAGCACTGTAAAGACTCACAACACATGGAGATGGCATCAGGAGCTTTCGTGGGCAAAACCCACTTCTTCAGATGACCTTGCGCCCACGAAAGCTCATGAGACCATCTCCAGGTTTTGTTAATCTTTAAAGTGCTACCAGCCTCTTTGTTTTTCCTGTTACGGACTAACTCGGCTACTACCCCTCTGAAGCCTTAGGGCATACCTGGTACAAGTTTGTTTGCAGTTATGTAACAATAGCAACAATGATCTGCCTGGTCGTATGTTAAGCATATAATGTCACAGAGCCCCAGGGCGTGCTGTGTGTCCATGCGGTAAAAAGCTGGGCCCTTCCCGAGAGAGCAGGTGGGTAGATGAATAGAGGGGCGAGTTCTGATTCCCACCCTGGGCCCCTTGGGAGTTAACGTACAAAGATGTTAACTGCTCCTGGTCTTTTTTAAATATCCCTTCCAGTTCCCAAAGCCAGCGCGTGCCAGGCACTGCCGGGAGGAAAGGCTGAGGCTCCAGTAGCGGCGAGCTTTCCTGCAGCCCGTGTAACATGGTCTGGCAGGAGGAGCACGGGGCCGGGAGCCAGGAATTTCCCGGCATTGCTCGTGGTGGAAAAGCCCACCTTCCCCCACTTAGCGCCGGCTCTGTCCCTGCGGTGGGGCTGTTCCGAGGGCAGGCCCTGTGCATACATTGCTTTGCGGGGGTAAAGTGTTAGCTGGGTCCCGACTCCTGGGAGAGGCCGGGCAGGGAGCCGCCCCGAGAGGAGGGAGCGGGCCAGCCCCGGGGCGGTGGGGGCCGCAGCTCGCCTGACCCCTGGCGTACGCTGCCTTGCAGGTGACCATGGACATGCTGCAGTACGAGAACGTCGCCGTGCGGAGGGCGCTGAGCAGCGAGGAGGCGCTGGTGAAGCAGTACGGCCCCACCACCTTCCCTGCCGGCTTCCTGCTCGTCCGCAACGGGACCTACAGC